GGTAAACAGAGTTAAAGGGCATTGAAAATGAGAATACTTTTATGAGACTGCTCTCTTCTGCCAATCTTTTCTAATCCCATGAGATTATATAGTTTATGTGATAAGGACATCCATATTTATTTCTCTAGCCCAGACCTCTCTTCTGTGTTCCAAACTCATCAGTGCAACTGCCTATTTTCCACAGCCCACTTGGATATCTCAGTGGCACTAAAAACTCAATGTTGTACCTACCCAAAATGAAAGTATTGATATCCCCTTCCCTCAAATCTGCTTTTCTTCCTGTCTCAGAGAAAAATAACTGTACCCAGTTTTTTATAAGAAAAATGATTCTTAAGACCCCCCCTTGCCTCATCTGCTGTAATTGATCTTCGTTATTCATGGGTTCTGTGTGTACAAATCTGCGTATTTGCTAACATGTATCTGTAACCCCAAAATCAATACTCTCAGCACTTGTACAATCATAGGCAGACATGTACAGAGATGCCAAAAATTTGAATTGCCTAATATACACATCCCCAGTCGAGGTCGAAAAAAGACAATGCTCTTCTTGTTTCAGTTCTTACACCGTAAGCAAATGTAGCCTATTTAGTGCAACGTTTTCCCCATTTGGGGGCTTTTTGGTGGTGATTTTGCTCTCTAAAATGGCCCCCAAGCATAATGTCCAAGTCCAAGACAGCTGTAATGTGCCTTAAGGAGAAAAATACAAGTTAGATAAGATTTCTTTAGGCATGAGTTATAGAGCTATTGGCTGTGAGTTCAATGCTAATCAACATATATTAAATAAGGTGTCTTTAAAAAGAAACATGCATAAAACAAGGTTATATATTGATCAGTTGATGAAAATGTTGCGACCAGAGACTCACAGGAACTTAACACTGTTTTTGCCTTAGGAGCAGAGCAATATTCACTAATTCAGTGTCCGTGGTAATTTCATAGAACATAACTACTGTGAATAATACCAATCGACTGTGTACCCAAACCCACCACCAACTCCTATAGATTCTCCTTCCAGAACGTAACTCAGATCCATTAGCTTCTATGCTGTCATAGTAGGCCATTATTTCTAGCCTAATAAGCTTCCTTATTCCCAACTCTTGGCACCCTTCTAATCCATTCTCCTCAAAGATCAAAATGACTCTTAAAGCAAAATGGATTGTCATGGTTAGTCCTTGATTTAAACCATTCAGTTGTTTCTGAGGGCACTTTAGATAAAATCCAAAATTCTTCACAGGCCCATGGACTTACCTTGATACCCTGTAGACCTCTCCTGTTTCATCTTAGCACCCCTGAGACATACTGATTTGCTGCCGTTATTCCCTAAGAGTCAAGAATTTTCCTGCTTCAGGGACTTCAAACACACTATTCTCTCTTCTTTCTCTGTGTTCTTATCCTACACAAGTTGTACTCAATGTTCAAGTCTAGGTTTAAATGTAACTTTCTCAGAAAGCCTTCCAACCCAAATGGAGACCCTCTATTATACTTATTTGTAGCATCTTCTAGTTACCCTTCTTAACAGCATATATTATTTATTTGCTTAATATCTGGTTCTCCACTAGACTATAAGCTCCATGAGGACAGAACTATACTGTGCTTTAGTTTCATTATCAAAGGTCTCATCACATATTGCTAAAGAAGCAATCACAATATCCTTTGATTTCATTTTATAAGTATCAATCTGTGACTTCCTAGGTTGAAATCATTCTCCTTTATCTTTCACTTTTTTTTTTTACCATTCTAAGAAATGACCATTCTTAACATTCTAAGTAAATTCTTTGTTCCAAGAAATAAAATATTTTCTTGTTATAACAGGTAGTTTCTATCGATGTGTTCTGAATAAGCACATGAAAATTTGCCAACATATTCTCCATGAAAATTATATTCACTTTAAAATCCAATAGTTTCCAGGGGATCCCTGGATGGCTCAGCGGTTTGGCGCCTGCCTTTGGCCCAGGACGTGGTCCTGGCATCCCGGGATCGAGTCCCACGTCGGGCTCCCTGCGTGAAGCCTGCTTCTCCCTCTGCCTGTGTCTCTGCCTCTCTCTCTCTCTGTCATAAATAAATAAAATCTTTAAAAAAATAAAATAAAATAATAAAATAAAATCCAATAGTTTCGGGACGCCTGAGTGGCTCCGTGGTTGAGTGTCTGCCTTTGGCCCAGGGTGAGATCCCAGAGTTCCAGGATGGAGTCCTACATCGGGCTCCCTGGGAGGAACCTGCTTCTCCCTCTGCCTATGTCTCTGCCTTCTCTCTGTGTCTCTCATGAATACATAAAATCTTTAAAAATAATAATAAATAAAATAATAAAATCCAATAGTTTCAAATGCATTTAATTTCATGTTTTACGAATTCATTGCCAGTGCTTTTTCCACTTAGAAACTCTTATGTGCTTTAAATGAATCTTCTTCATCAAATTCTTGTTAGCCATATGATATCAAATGCCAGCTACCAAAACTATGTATGTCATAATTCTTTACTTTTTTTTGGTTGTCCCTAGTCTTGTATACACTGCAGGTACAGGTTCATAAAAGAGCCTCTCTTGTGAGCCTTTACATTATGCTGGTGTCAGACACAGCAACTTATTATTGAGGATGATCATGTTCATCAAGTACAGTATTTGGTTTTCCATACTGTTGTTATTTCAGCACCATTATCTGACTTGTCTGGTGAATTCTCAGAAATTATTTGGGTTTTTATTTTTATGTAATTTTCAAAAAAATTTCCACAAAACAAACTACAGCTGACCATACCCATAACATTGAATAACTGAAAAATAAGAAATACTACACACCAAGCATTGCAAGGCTGGAAAAACATCAAAATAAAGTCTATCCAAGTGGTTTCGCAGAATACAGCTCAATGGCTGAGCTACACCAAAGACCTCGCTGCTTTTTTTTACACATTGGTTTTTAAACATTCCCAACAGTTACAAAACAACTGAATGATTTGACCTTACAGTTTAAAATGGCTGATGCCATGCCTGACAGTCCTATTTCATCCTTGAGTCACAATTTTTTCTCCCTGTGGAATTTGGGGAATAAAAAGAAGAGATGGGTTCCCTTTTCCCTCTTCTATCAATATCCCTATATTTGTCTTAAAAGAAGCCAAGCCTTAAGATTTTATTAAACTCTTAGGTTATATAGAAGTTGCTGTAGAGTTTTTGTAGTTGTAGTAGAGGTTTTTGCCTTTGGAACATTGCCTTTTAAAGGTACAATAAGACCTCTCATTTATCTGGCATTATCCAGAATGACGAATCCCCCAAGCAAAGCCAAATCTCCAAAAAAAATGAATCTTATTAAGAAACTGTGAAAGGTCTGAGATTTTACCCAACTTACAACCTAACAACTAAGCCCAAAAGATAAATTATTTTTTAAGATTATTTGAGAGACAGAGTACCCAAAAAGGGCACAAGCAGAGGAGACAGTTGGACAGAAAGGGGGAAGCGGACTCTGTTGAGCAGGGAGCCTTAGGAGCCTGAGATCATGACCTAAACCGAAGGCAGAAGCTTAACCAACTGAGCCACTCAGGTGCCTCTAAACTCCAATATATTAAAGCTTGCTACCACATGGCTTCAAGTTATTTTTCTGTTCTTTTCTTCCTCCCCAAGGCATTTTTATACTTTTTCACATAATATTTGTAATCATGCATGTGTTTACTGATTTTCTCTCTTCTTCTAAACCTAAGCTCCAACCAAGGAAAAACTATATATATTTCATTCATACTTGTATATTCAACACATTTTATAAAACTGTAACACAAAAATCAGTAAATATCTATTAAATGAAATTTAAAAATATTTATATGCAATGTGTTTCTACCTAAAAGCTTACGCACATGCTATTCCTCACTGGTGCTCCACTCTCACTAAATCACATCTTGAAATCTGTATGAATTCTCACCTGCCACATGACCCAAAAGGGTTCACATCTCATAAATCTCCCAATGCAATTTCCTACCGGATTTTACTTAATTCGCACAACCCTATATTATTTTCTGCAATTAAAATATAAAGAAACTAAAGCTTAGAGAGATTAAAAGATATGTGCAAACTCATCTAAGTTTAAAATTAAGTCTGTGTCACTTCAAAGTCCCTATTCCTAAACCTCTCTCATATCACATGCATCCTTAGCTAAAATGATTCTCCTACAATGTCACTGATCCAAAGCCCAGTGTTGGCAGCCCAGGTGGCTCAGCAGTTTAGTGCCACCTTTCAGCCCAGGGCGTCATCCTGGAGACCGGGGATTGAGTCCAATGTCAGGCTCCCTGCATGGAGCCTGCTTCTCCCTCTGCCTCTCCCTCTCTCTGTGTCTCTCATGAATAAATAAATAAAATCTTCAAAAAAAAAAAAAAAAAAGCCCAGTGTTGCCACATATTAATGTAAGTATAATACTGAGGAACCTCAGATGATGTACAGGCAAAATAAGGGTGTAGAACTTACCAAAAAAAAAAAAATTGTATACAGATTAGATAATGAAAAGTACTTAGCACAGTGCCCAGTACTTAACACACAAAACACTCAAGAAACATTAACTATTATTATCATTATATGCCTCTGAAACAGAAATCACTAATTTGTTTCTGTGAGGGTCAAATGGTAAAATAGTTCAGAGGCTGTAAGCCCCACAATCTGTGCTACAACAAAAAGAGGCAGCAAGCTGGGTTTGGCCCACAAGTCATAATTTGCCAACCCCTGGTTTATAGCAACATTCTTCAACCTCAGCACTATGAATATGTGGGGCTGGATGAGTCTCTGCTACAGAGGGCTGTTTTGTGCATCGCAGAAAGTTCAGCAGCATCCTTAGCCTCCACTCAGCAGATGCCAGTAGCATCACCCAAGCGGACACAACTAAAAAAAGATCTCCTGTGGAGCAAAACTGCCCCTGGTTGAGAAACACTGCTCTAGAGCAATCAAACTTAGGAAGATGCAGCCAGAATTTTCTAATAAATAAAATAACTAAGTGGAGAATTAACAATTACACACACTAAGAAGTATTTATACTCACTTAGCTAAAATTCCCACACTTAGCAATAACTTTATAACTTCTGTGATACACACGGCTGTGGTTGAAAAGTAGAGTTCTTTGTCTGATGTCCTTGTGTATCTTAAAGCTATGGTATAAGCTGCAGCCACCAGGGTCATCACTGCCAAGCAGTAGAACTTGAATAATAAACTGACATTTTCTGGAAAATATGTGCAACAAAGATATTATTTAGTAGACAGCATTATGTTTATAAAAATTAATGTTATTCCTCAAAATGCTTCCCAACTTCAAGCACAAGATACTTTTTAAAACCCAGGATATTTGACAATTTATCTCAAAACAATACTTTCCCAGTACATGAACACCAACATGCATACACAAAATACAGCTGGCTTTAAGTATCAACCAGTTAAGCAAAGATTTTGTCCCTGAAGGATGCCCCAACTGCAAGATTATGTGGCATACTGACGCTAGCCTGGGATATAATAAATTACATATTTAATATATCCTTATAATATAATGTTAGTATCACACATTTATAGTAGGCATGTAAGACTTATGGCTGAGGCAGAACAAATATTTATCGGCAATAAGCCTAAATCTGTAAATTACTGCAACTATTTCAGATAATGATTTGAATTCTGTAATTTTGAAGCTCTGCTCATCATTAATCTTGCTGTCCCCATCCTATGTTAGTTATCGAAACAATTCTATTTTTTTTTCCCCTTAATTCCTGTTTTGCTACAAAAAGACTCTTGAAGGTTGGACTTACTCGAAATGGGAGCATGCGTAAGAGCGTGATACACAACTCCAGACAATGTCCCTGGCAGGGCTTTAATGATAATCGTGAGTTCCCCAACCAGGAAAATAACTTGGCACCCATGCAGGAAGATATCCTTTAAGTGTTTGTTTGACATTTACTCAGGGGTGAAGCCAAATATAGTCCGTAGAAGGGTGGAGAAGGAATCCGGGTGTCGCCCAACCTGTCCTAGCTACAGCTCTGAGGTCCAGAAATCCAGCTCCGTTCCCAACTTACATACCCTACTCAGCGAAACAAAACTCAGCTTCGGGGTGAATCACAACCACTCTCACGAGAGGGCAATCAGTCATCAAATACCAATACCCTAACGTGCTATCCCCCGGGGGGGGGGGCCGTGGCTCTCGCCCTCCACCCAAAATATCAAGAGCTTCCTTCTAACCCACACAACATCCTCCAGGGAAGGCGCTCCGTTAACGACGGCTTTCTCCATCCCGTTACGGCGTCAGCGCGGCTGTAATGCCCCAGTGATGCTTCGTGCGGCGGCTCCGTGGACCAGCCGCGGCGTGGGCTCCGCGCCCGGAGCGCGCCCTCGAGCCTCTGAGCATCCGTAGGGCAGAAGGCGCAGAAGAGACCGCAGCCGCGGACCCCGGCCGGAACCCGGCACCGTACTGCGCGGCCGCGCCGGGACGCGGGGCCCCCTCGGGGTCCGCCGCAGCCCGGGCCTGTCGGAATTTGGTTCCCACCCGCTGCGAGCTCGTCGGGGCAGAGGCGGGGTGGAGCCGCAAGAAGCCCCGCGCGGAGTCCGCCTTGGGGAAGCCAGCCGCAGCAGGAGGCTGCCGCCCTGCGCTGCCCTGACAGGCGGCGGCGGCGGCGGCGGCGGCGGCGGCCCCGGCGGCGCGGGCTCACACCGGCGAGCGGCCCCAAACAAACTCCGGACGCCGACGCCGACGCCCACGCCGACGCCCACGCCTGGCCCCGGAGCTCCGCGGGCGCGGACAGGCGCTGACGCTCGCGCGCCCCCGCCCCCGCGGGCTCCCCCGTCCCGGCGGCCCCCGGCCTCACCTCTTGGGGCAGCCATGGTTCCCCGACAGCCCCGCGCGGAACTGACGCACGCCCCCTCCGCGCGCCCTCCTCGGGACACCCGAGGCCGCCTCCTGTGATCATAGAGACGAAAATCCCTCGGCCTAGAGCGCCCCGGCGGCCGACCGTCCGCCGACTTCCTGCCCAGTCTGACACCAAGATTAGGCTCAGCGCTCCGAGCTACCCCCGAAAATGGGAAGACCCGGATGGAGGAGAGTCCCGGCCGACAAGTGCGTAAAAGTCGAGTCCAAGGCGTCGTTCTGTCAACTAGATCTCCCGGCCGGCTAAGGAAGCCGAGTCAAGGGAGCAGAGCGTTGCCTTCTGGGAATTGTAGTCCTCACCAAGGTAACAGGGTAGCAAATGCGACCGGAGGGGAAGTCTTAGGGATTGATGCCCGCCCAAGCTGTTACAGAAACCCCCGGAATCCGTAAAGCAACAGAAACTACTTTTGACAACTTTTCCAACTCCCACCTTGTTCATTACCTTGCATTTGCACCTCGTACTTAATATGATTGATGTACTTTTCACAAGTCCTGTGTCCTTATTGTCAGCATTGTCGTTGATGATGTTGACTTGGCCAGGCATTCTAACTACGTGATCCTCTCACAACGAAGGGGCTTCAAAAAATATTAGACGTGTCAACAGGCATTTACTTCGACTGCTATAATCTTCACTCTCACTAGAGGATACTACTTAGCATAAGCGATGTTAGAAATAATTCACTGGCAGAATGAAAGCCTTTCCAGATAACGTGGATTGGTTAAAAATATAAAGGTACCTCAGCCCTTCCAGGAACAGATACAAGATACCCAGCAGCCTACGCCTCTTGTAGCACCATCTTTCCCTAAATTGATTTTTTAAAGGTTTGAGTGAGTTGTATACACCATTGTGTTACAATCAGATATACATACCCGTAGTCTATTAACATTATTGGAAAAAATTTCATGCCTTATTAGCATCATATTCCTATTAGAAGGAGCTTTGTAGAGCTGGACATTTGATTAATCTCATACTGGAATACTGTTGGGACCTTCCCAACAACAATCCTGGGTTGTATGTGTGCTCACCGGTTCTTATCTCCTCTTCCTGTAATTGGTACAGCTCCCTACTGCAAATTTTCTTATGCGTACACTTAAACTAAAAATTCACATATATACCTGAAATTAATTTTAATAATGGAAAACATTCTTTCATACATTCCTTTTGTTTTACAACTACAGCTTTGTACAGTTTATCTCTTCCCACTTTTTAAAGATTTTATTTGTTTATTCATGATAGACACAGAGAGAGGGGGGCGGTTCATGCAGGGAGCCCAACTCAGGACTTGATCCCAAGACTCCAGTATCGCACCCTGAGCCAAAGGCAGGCGCTAAACCGCTGAGCCACCCAGGGATCCCCTATCTTTTCCCATTTTGGAGTATCATTATGGTCTCAATTCAATTAACTATAATTATTCTCCTTTTGATGCTCAAATTATCCCAATATGGCCCTTGTAAGCCTACTCCTTTCTTTATATCTGCACAAGATTTTTGAAGCATTCTTTATTTCTGGCAACAAGAGGTTCCAGTCAATCTTGATATATCCTAGATCATGGAATCCAGTACACTTCAAGGAACTATGGTTCCTTCTGGTAGAGAATAGTATCTCTGTCTCCGTCTCTCTGTCTCTCTCTCTCACACACACACACACACACAAACACACACATATACATATACACAAACTGATAATAAGTAGCATGGTAGGTAAAATGCTGTTGTGCTGTTTTTGTGGCATTTTGTGTTCACATAACATCATGCTGCTGAACCCTACTTAATAAATTTTAATTGCCCAAAAGACTTCCTACCCCATTGGCATGAACCTTGACTAGATTTTTGATGCATCTTGTCATAACCTGTTCAGCCCAAGACCATGAGGGACAAATTTAACATTCAGACAGAATCAGGATTATTGACCCATTCCAATGAGGGAAATAACACACCAGAGGAATTATGTGGGATGTTGCTGGAAAGAGTTACAAAATCTAGGAGACTGATAGATGGGTGAAATTTAAAGGAAGCAATGTTTTGACAGATTCAAAGCAGGGCTACTTATAAAGAAGTGAACATCAGATCTAGACTGAAGAATAGTCTCAGGATCCTGTTTCTTAAAAACAACAAAGTTACCAGATGTAGAATGCTGTGTTCGGGAGCCCCTGAAATGAAAGCTTTCTTTGGAAATTGGTTGGAAATTGAGGCTGGTTCTTTGTGTCCAAGTGCCTTAAATCCTCCAAACAAAAGCAGGCCATTTCATTCCTACTGGTAACTTCGACAGCAAGGTTCCTAACAGTGAATGCTTTTAGAGAACAAAATTTTTCACTGAGTTAGAAAGTAGACACTCAAAAGAAGGAGTGGTTATTATATTTTACTGCGGCATACCCTTCAGGGAAGTTATTATTTCCTGTTAACTTTCCAGTTGGTGTTTCTGTTTGTTTCTCATTCTGAATTATCCTGTCTTGGAGGAAAACCAATTGACGTGATGTGCTTTTTACGTGTGTGTAGCCTTCTATACAACCATGGTTATTGCAAGAAGCAATGATCTTGAACATGTGAACTGCAGGGTCATTTGATAACGAGCTAACCTGTGTCTCAAACAGCTACTGCTGTTGCCATTTGAAACCCTAATGATATTCCTGATTGTAATTACCAAGCTGCAGTATTTGCCTTGAAATTCTGCTCACTTCTATCTCTGCACAGGCATGAGAGCTACCCTAGTCTCAATGAATTTTATAAAAGGAAGCCCGTTACTGTATCCATTGGCAATATGGTAAAAGTGTAGGCTGTGCAGTAAGCAATAGGAAAGGCTTAAGAAAGTTACAGCTAAATTCAAGTATTTAGCTATATAACAGATTATTAAAAGTGGTGAAGGTTCCAATACAGTAAACTAATAACCATAAAGAACATTTAGGCAAATGCAGATACCTAAACATAATTGTTTCCATGACAACTTAAGCATATTTTCCTTATTCTGCTATTAAGAAAATTACATTCCAATCTGCTAGGTTGTTATTTTAAAACAATTATTTCCTATGGTGTAGTATTACTAAAGACAACCTAAAAAGAATTGTTGCATTTTATAATTGAGAAAGTAAAAAAAAAAATACTAGGAGACAGTGTAAATTAAATTCAGTGTCTAGACTTGAAGAGCACAACATGAGTAACAATCATCAACAATCATCTAAACATTTCTTATTTGAGCTTAACTCTCCCTTGCCTCTGCTTCCTTTTTTAGCTACCACAATCTCATTTCTTTTCCTGCCAAGAAGTACTGATTTGCAGTCTGTACTTATTTCTACCATTTCTGCTTGCTGCAATCTTACTTCTACTCAAGCCAACTCTATTAAAACAGAGCCCAGCAGTTGCCTACTTCATTGACCTTTTCTCATCCTCTTCTGTTTATTCCTCAGACGTTGACTGAAAGCCATGATGTGCCAAGCATTATTTGAGGCATCGAGAGCTTGAAAACAGAAAGTAGGCAACATGAGGATTGGAGTGCAGTAGAATGAGACACTGGAGACTCCCTTCTCTCCTGGCTAACATTAACATAGCACTTATTGTGTAAATGCTTTGGATGGGTTAACTCCTTTAATCTCCTGACAACCCAGTGAGGTCGGAATTATTAGTATCCCAATTTTCATGAAGAAACTGCAGCAGAGAAATGTTAAGTAACACAGCCAGTAAGTAGTAGACCTTGACCTTACTTCCTTGACCAGAGAGATTCCTTTCTGTCTTCTTTTACCTCTCTGACTGCTTCTTGGTCTCATCTTGTCTCTTCCTCTTCATTCCATCCCTATTCCCTTGGGGATGACCTCCCAAATTATCTTTGTCCAGTTCAAATTCCAGTCACCTCTGCTTTATTATTTTGTCATCCCTTAAGCACGGTTTTTCTAAGTACTGGACTCATTATCTTTTTGATCAACCAGATCCTCTTCCCAATTATCCTCAGTCTCCTAGGGTAGACACCCTGAGGTCATACTGTGATTTTTCTTCCTTCTCCTGAGATGTTATATCTGATTCATTAAATCTCACATTTGCCCTTCATGTCATCCATTACCACATGCCCCAATTCTTGCAACAGCTTCCTAGCCATCTCCCAATCATAGAATCTCTCTCCTACAGTCAATCTTCAAGAATCTGCAGTGGTTTCCTAATGTCTGACTACAGAAAGGCAACATATTCCTTTCCCTGGCTTTCAATGTTCTCCAAAACCTATACCAACCTGGCTTATCCAACTTTACTTCCCACCACTTCTCAAAAAATAATCTCCTTTTTCCTCTCTCTTCCAATGATCCCTTTCCTCTCTCTTCTTTTCCAATGATTACTTTGCTGCTGAGCTCCTTAGCAATTCCCACCTTGACTATTAAAATAATCACATGACCAGTATCCTGCCTCCAGTTTGTTCTTTTGTTTATTCCCTTTTCCTTCCTTCAGTCATCCAACAACATACAAATGCCAGGGATATAAAAATGCCTAGAACACAGTTCAAATCTCAAGAAACTCACAATCTAACAGGGAAAATACAGATGACCACATGTATACCTATTTAGGTACTATGCTAAGGTTATAAATAAAAAGTTGTGAAAACCCAAAGGAAGAAGCAATGAATTCTCCCAAAGCTGATCCGGAAAACCTTCACTGAAACGGTAAAATCTGATCAGGCTGTTTGAGGACAAACATAATCTCATGAGGGTATCCTTGGACGACATTCCAGGTAACAGTGAAAATCAAGAGCAGAGAGTGGTGATATGAAAGACAATATCTTTGAAGAGTTTGATTCAACTTGCCTAATATGTATAGTATATGGAGGTAGTAAGGGAGGAACAGAAAATGAAACTAGAAGATAAATGGATATATTTTGAAAAGTCTTACATAGTATGTGAGGGAGTTTTTCCATTATCCCCTAAGTAATAGAAATGAGTCTTGGTAGGTGTTTAAGTGAGGGAGGTAAAATTTGGGGGAAGGGAGCAGTGTGACATGACTGGATTTCTGTTAGAAACATTATGCCAACGAATCAGGTAATAGGACTAAGTCCTAAATGATAGCACTGGTGGTGAAAACAGAAAGACACAGACAATTCAAACCAAATCAACAGGGCTGGATGACTTGTTAAATATAGGGGCTATAAGATAAAGGCAGTCAAGAAGTTCTTAATGTCTGCTACTGAGTAAGAGAGTGATGCCTTTAGGGCAGCCCCGGTGGCGGTGGCGCAGCGGTTTAGTGCCGCCTGCAGCCCAGGGCGTGATCCTGGAG